TCTGTGCCCACCGACTTCGCCACACTTTACCCAGAAAACACGTTTGAAAGTTGATTAATGGGAATTATAAGCACGTCCCTGCAAATGTTCATCTAAAGTGTTGCACATCTAACAAATGTGAGAATCTGTTTTTTCAGGAATTTTCCACAAAGCGTAAGTGAAATTTTTATTTTTTATGATTTGGTTTAGAAGGACAAATATAGGAAGAGATGTGGCATTGATGCTCCTTTAAAATCTGCTTAAAATGGAAAGAAACAGAAAACCCTTTGTTAATTTACCCACTAGACATGGTCTTTATGTCATGTGACCAACCTGGGAACTGACCTGAATGATGGGGAAACATTTGGACGCTCAACATTCTGGGTTTAGAAATAAAGATCTGCATTGAAACAAGTGTGCGATTAGGACAAGAGACGTGAGCCCCCCAATAAGTAAAAATGTAAATTTGTCCCCCCCCCAATAATATTTGTAGTCAAATGGTTCCAGAAGTGTAAAGAAGGCCGCGGTGCATGTGCCCTGACCTGCTGCTTCATGTCAGTTGACATGTGAACCAGCCACAGGTGACACAGCTTTAGATCATCAGTGCACGTTAAATACAAACCAGTGTGGTGCTGACAAATGTGTGGGGTGTGTCTAACAAGCTGGAGGATGATGTTCGCTCAGTCACGTGTCTTTGACGGGGGGGACCTGTGTTTGGCTGCTGCTGTGAACCAACCACGTTCTCATTGTTCCGCTGGTCCAAATGTGCACACAGAGGAGCCACTGTCTGTGCGCTGGAGCGTGCACTGCCTGTGGTGCATGGTCCTTCTCACTCTGAGTGTGGTGTCTTTGTGAATAGTTCAAATTGAAACTACGGTGATAAACATGGGACTTTAGTTTCCTAGCACCAGATGAATGTGTTTGTGCCGAAGAGGGAGAAGAGGCGCGGCGCAGCGTGGCGCGGCGTGGCGCGGCGTGGCAGTCGGGCAGTGCAGTGCAGTTTGGGTGCTCATTTGGATGGACTGTGTTAAAACCTGGTCAGACCACCTCGTATGACAAACACAGAATCAAAAGCACCTTTGTTACTTATGCTCGTCTTCTTTCTGGTGGTTATAAAACACCCAGCTTTTATTTTGAAAGTAGAAGGAAGTGTCTGCAATTCAGATGGCAGTTCCCAGGTGACGCTTTGCTCTCAGCTCGAGTTCGGACTTAGATGACTGAAGACTGACAGAAGTGAGCGTGAGGAGCGAGTGTGGTGATCCTGGCTCACCGTTCTCCTCGCGCTCACATCTCTACATATTCGCCCTCAAATGCTGACTTGCAAATCGAATAGCGCTTGAAATTTTGCTTATGTAGTGAGCACTGAGACATTTTGATGGGGATACGCTTCCATAGAGAAGCTGGAATAACAGAAGGGCTGTAGGCAGCAGAGTGTCATGGGGGGTTCATCAGACACTGGGGGAAATCTTAATGCACCTTTAATTTCTCTGATTCGGCTGAAGGATGTTGAAACCTTTGGACCCTCATGAGTCTATGTTTGCAGATTTAGAAGTGAAGATTTACTGTAGAGTCGACGAGCAGAGCTGGAGCAGGTGGAGCTTCAACTGTAAATAATGCATGGACTAGTTCAGCTGGATACTTTCTGTGGCCACTGAGATGAAGTCATCAGAACAAACCAGGAAAGTTCCCCCCCTGTTGGGGTGTAGTCTGTGGGTTGTGCCAGATAAGAGTGTGCATGTTGTTGATGGTGTGTTTGCATGTTGAGCCTGCAGAGTGGGAAAACCCCTGGTGTTGCTCTGTACGACCAGTGGGATGATGAAGTGTCTGACTCACTAAACCTCTGTCAGGACGTCTTCATCAGAAAGGTGTGGCTGTATTTTTATTTAATTCAGATTCATAACTTGTGCCCGTGATGACCTGTGCCATTGCGTTCTTCTTTAGTCTGTGTCCACAAAGTTCTCCACAAGCTTTAAAGAGGCTGTTAAAGTTGTTTAGTTCATTTCTCACCGAATGAGAAAACAAACCAATAATGTTTTAGCAGTAAATCATTAGTATTAAATTACAGTTATGGGTTGGCATTAACCTACTATATAACTAGAAATAATTCAGTGTGTACCAGTTGAAAGCTGCCTCAAAATGTTCCTAATTAGTCCAAAAAATACTTTTACCAGGAAGCATGTTAGAAATTATTAGGAAATCATAGATAAATATGTTTTTCCAGGTAGAGCAAACCTAAAGTTTACAGATCTTATTCCAGGATCCAGAGAACTGGTTTATTTCCAGTCAGTCCACAGTGAGAGTGTGGAGGAGAGATGGATGGAGACAGTAATGCTCTGTCAGTCAACTATCTGGTTAACGGGCCGCTGTGTTGAATCCATTAATCATTGTAGACATGATGGGTAACAACACTGGGTTTTGGGCAGAGCTCTATGAAAGGATAGCAGGAGGTTTTCAGCCATTTCTCACACGTGAAAGACCATTAATCAAAGACAAGTGTGTGGAGCCGAAAACATAGACCCCTCTCAGTGGCTCTGTGGGCTTTCAAAGGCAACAAGAAACATGATGTGCACTCAGACAGGAAGAAGAAAAAAGGAGAAAAGGAAAAGACCAGAAAAACCCAACTGAATCAGCAGAATAATCAGTCATGGAAATAAAACGCCGTTGTTGCCCTGGACTGAAGTAGACGACGGTGTCAGTGACAGGAGGGAATTAATCTGAGGGATGTCGTTTTTAAAATGTATGACATACAATAAGCACATGTGCGTTCAGCCTGCAGCTGTGCGGCCATGTGTGGCCACACATGAAGTAGGACGGTGACCTGTCACGTCAACACAGAGGCTCAAATGTGTCAGCGCCCACTCTGGCCCAGAAACACTAACACACATCTCACACCTCTGGATGTCGAGCTTTCATCTCTTCACCTTTAATGTCTGTGACGCAGCTGCACTTCCTTGTAATTACATGTGGGTGTCAGAGAGGAAATTCCAACAGACATGAAACATGGTGAGGGGGCGTGTGTGATAGTAGGTAATATAATCCTGGACAAGTCCGGGCCGGCAGAACAGACCTCAGAAACTTCCTCGACCCAAAACTCAACTTGTTGTTGCAGTAACCTCCACTGAAGTCAACCAGAAGACGCTCAGACCTCAGCCAGGCCACCACATTGTCTGAGTGACAGAGATGGGCAGGAGGTTTCAACTTGTATGTGTCTGTTGTTTGTGTAACTGTGCACAAACCCCGTCCAGAGACCAGCAGCACCAGTGAATGTGGTGTGCTCACTGTAATGTTTGAGAGTCCAGACCCTGGTCCAGCTCATTGCTCTGTGCTGTAGGCCTCCACTGTTGACCACCAGCTATTAACCCAACCCCCCTGTTTCTGTCACTGTCATCGACCTGTGGAGCCAGACCCCTGCCATCACAGGCTGTGTGGTAACCTGGGGAGCATCACCACTAACCGCTAATGGGCGCTGCACCGTTAGTTTCTGCCGCTGTGGACTCCGCCGAATGTTGTAGCCTTCTGGGAGCACAGAGTACAGCCGATATGTAGTGTGAATGTTTCTTCAGCCAGGAAACCATCAAGCACCAGCACTCGCTGTGTTTCTAGGAACTGGATTTGTCTGTCGTGAGCCTCGATTGGCCAACAGAACCGGGAACAGGAAGTTGGCTTGTGTTTTATTAGTGCAGCAGTTGCAACGTTCCTGCAGCCAAATACCTGCAGTGACATGATTCTCTAACACACACACACACACACACACACACACACACACACACACACACACAAGGTGTTTTTTTGTTGTTTTTTTTTTTTTTTTTACATCTGGTTTCCTTTATGTAAAGCAGCTTGGTAACACTGCAGGTACATGATCTGATAACGTGGAAACGAGAGTGTGGGAAACGATTCAAAAGAAAAGAAACCATGTAACAGAATCAAACACTGATATCTGTGTTCCACTTACTAGCAAAAAAGGAGGGTGGTGCCAAATATAGCCCCACTTTCCATTCATTATTTAAAGAACTAAAATGAACTGTTGCACATGGTCTTAATGTAAAACAGCAATCAAGATGCTCAGTGTTTAAATAAAACCTTAAAACATTTACTTCTCAGTTCTTAAAGTGCGGTATGATGATACCTTCTTTTGTTAAACATAGCCTGCATCCACATCTTTAAGAAAAGTAAAAATCTCTTGTGCATCTAACCCTGAGGTCTAAGCCTTTTTAGAGCTGAGATGGATCCAGTGTGTGCCCAGATTGTGGTTCAGATGGGACCGCTGGCTTAGACCCACATGGTGTTGGAATGGAAATTATTGGTGTGTGTGTGTGTTTCAGATCTGTAACTACCAGGGCCCGGCCAGGGTGGTGGTCCAGCTGGTGACAGCACTGACCCCCCAGCCTCAGCTTCATGCTCACAGTCTGGTGGGAAAACAGTGTGACAAAGGGATCTGTGTCGCAGACCTGCAGCCTAAAGACTCCAGCATCAGGTCTGCAGACACACACACAGAGCACAGTAGAACCCCAGTAGAACCACGGGGCTGAACTAGACTCAGCTGTGTTTGTTTCTGTCAGCTTTCCTAACCTGGGGATCCTCCATGTGACAAAGAAGAACGTGGCCAAGACTCTGGAGGAGAGGATGGTGGAGGCCTTCAGGCTGGGATACAACTGTGGAGTCTGCATCAACCCTGAGATCGACGCCCTGCAGGGGGAGGTCCGCATCCCCCGAGACCTCAGCGGTCAGTCCTGCTCAGTGCCGTAGCTCTCACCCACCCAGGCTCAGAGCTTGAGATGTGTTGAGAAGACGGGACATGTTTTGTGAAGTTTGGACATTAAAGTAAAGACAGGTTTGCATAGTGAGAAGGCTTGGTCCAGTCCTCAGATGGTTGCAGTATATTCAGGATAAGGTTTAGATTAGGATGAAGGATTAGTTCATGTCAGTGAGGCCGTGTTTCCAGACAAGGCTGGCTGTCGTCTTACCTGAACAATGTCTCACATTTAATTCCGTGTTATTTTCTTCTCATTATGTTTCAATAGAGTAGTAGTATGTGATGTGAGTAAAGGTCCCCCTCCGCCCTTTCAGATCACCAACGCAGTGGGATCAGCAGTGCAGCGTCTCTGCAGGCTAAAGAAATGGACCTCAGTGTGGTTCGGCTCATGTTCACGGCCTTCCTCCCCGACAGCGACGGAGGGTTCTCCAGACGACTCGAGCCCGTCGTGTCCGAACCAATCTATGACAGCAGTGAGTCTACACACCTACACCCCCCATGGGTTCATTGAGGCCTGCTCTCCTGGATCAGGACCGGTCCAGGCTTTGTGTCACTGAATGTGTTTTACAGTTGGTTAGTACTGACTTAGGTTTACACTGCATCAGACAACTGTAGTGCAGTAAGAAGTGAAGTGTATGACAAGACTTGGAGTACAAGTACCTCAAACATATACTTCAGTACAGTACTAAATCAGAAGTGAGCTTAAAGGCCTGTGGTGTCGAAGCAGCCTGAGGTGCAGCCCACCAGTGTTTAGGTGAAGACCTCTCAGGACAAAGAGAGTAGTGATGACGATGGTGAGTGGGTCTGGAGGATAGTACTCGGATCCTCTTAGTGTTTTTCTGTGTTGACCTCATGTTCTTCAGCTCTGATCACAGCCCCCGCAGTGTTTGTGTCCCCAGTCGACTCACTCTGGGGATGGTTGTGTAGTCATGTCAGGTTTCGTTTCCCTCTTCCTGCTGCTTCAGTTTCTCTGCGCTGCAGTTTCCTCTCACAGGGCTGAAACTGCTCAGAGTTCATTGCTGCTGGATCAGTTCTGCACTTTCACTTTATCAAACTGCAGATGGCTGGTTTTCGATCCTCGCTCTCCACATGTTGCTGAAGTTTTTGTTTCACAGCAAAAATGTTTTAGTTCACAGAACAAATCCATGGAAGAAGACACCCAGAGTTGTGCCTTATTAGCCCCAGCCCCTCACTAGCCCTGTTTCCACACTGTCTGTCCATCTATAAGGAGTGTGTCATTGTGGGGACAGACCTGCAAAAGGCCCCCGCACACCTACACTGGAGCCCCAGAGGCCCAACACAACAGTGGACATGTTCAGACCCCCGCATGGCACTGGCTGTGGCCGGGGCACCATGTTTTTGGTTTCGTCTCATTCTCATGAATGTGATATCTCAGGAACCCCGGGAGGGAATCACTTCAAAATTGGCCCCAACATCCACTTGGACTAAAGGATGAACTGATTAGGTTTTGCTGGTCAGAGGTGACATTGACCTCACGTCTGTCCCCTTCCTGTGAATTTGACTGGTTGGAGGAGGCATCCAACCACAAAGTGTTCATTCTAGTTTCACTATTTGTAATTGTTTTGTGTGTCTTTGTGGTTGTTTTGAGTCTTTGTAGTCAGTTTGTGTTTCTGTGCAGCCTGTGTCTATTTGTTGTGTTTGTATGTCTTTGTGGTAGTGTTGTCTCTCTGTGGTTGGTGTGTGTCTCTTTTCATGTCATCTGTTTGACTTTAGAACAAGAAGTCCCTTCAAACAGATGCTCTGGCCCAGGGCCCCTAAACCCTCAGGCCCCACTCAGTAATCCATCCCTGGGTACATGATGGCAGGTGCCCAACCTCCTCACACGTGGCCCCTCCTCTCTCCACTGACTGTCCTGCTGTCTCCTTTCTTCTGTGCCCTCAGAGGCTCCGAATGCTTCCAACCTGAAGATTGTCAGGATGGATCGAACCGCCGGCTGTGTGACTGGAGGAGAGGAGGTCTATCTGCTCTGCGACAAAGTCCAGAAAGGTGAGATGGGTTCGCTCAGGTTTTTAAACTGATTCATCATGAGTAATTTTTTTTCGTCTAGTCTCTGTCACAGGCAGAGCACTGAGAATGAAACACTCAACAACCAGTGCCTGTGGCCAGCAGTGAGAGGAGTTGTCGTGTGTTTATCTGTGGTAATTTCTAAATCCCAACCGGACCTGGCACCTCAGTCATGCCTGTAACACCTGGGCTCAGAGCTGCAGGTGTGCACATAAATAACTCAAAGCAGTGCAGTTCTTTGTCAGACCATGAGGCAGAAGCTGTTTGCACCCTCATCTCAGCCCAACTCAGTGGCACAGGGTCACACTCAATGTTTTGGTGGCGACACATGTACATAGGGCAGAGGTTTATTGAAGCTTTTACCGTCATTCATCTCCATCACTGTGCTCACACTCACTGCGGCCAAGCAGCATCTCTCCTCCTGCAGATGTGCAGCTCTAGTGCCACTGTTCAAGAAGTTATAGTGCAGCACCCGACAAGCAGAGCTGATTAAAACCAAGCAGTAGCAGGTAAAAACAAGAGCAGCAGCGAAAAGCCAGTGTTGCACAGTCTACAGTTGGTCATGGCCAGTGTCGGGAAATGATCAGAGAAAACTTCCCCCACGGGCTGTGAAAATAGATTTACACATCAAAGACTCAACCTAGACATGACTACCCCCCGATTTGATTTCCCTTGCAGCCTGCCAGCATCAGATTTGGTTTTATCTGTGTGTACATAAAAATAGTTTTTAGCCATTAAACTCTCTGTTGGGTTGTGCAATAGTCTGAGAGGAGTTTTACAGAGTGGTGGTGTCTGTTATGAGTTTATTCTTCATTCATAAAAACACGGTTGTCATTAAACTCTACTCAGCTGTAGGAGCCCGGCCACCGCAGCCCTCTGTCATTTTGTACTCCAGCTGCTTTTCTGAAGCTTCGTTAAAATGCAGTGAAGTGGATCTGTGGCTTTTTCTGGTCACAGCCGTCTCCTGGAGGAATTCCAGCTTCAGGGAAATCCCTTTCAATATGCAAATCCCTCAGGAGGAAGAGATTCGTATTTTTCCTGCTTCAGGCCTGTTGGCTTCTTCTTCTTCTCAGAAAACCAGCAGACCTGGGCACTCGGTAATCCTCCAGTTCAGCTGCTCACAGACACAGTAAAGACTAGTGATTCTTTTTATTTATGAATGAAGGAGCTGAGCCCGAAGCCTTTCTTGTCTGGGATACAGAGATAAAACAGGGAAATAGAGCTGCATGAGTGATTAATTTGGATGTGACGACATATTCATCAAGTCTCCTACCACCGACCATTATGACCAACAGTGCCAGCTTCTCTGAATGTGCTCACAGATGGAGATGAATATGTCCATCCAGGGACACTTGAATGCAGCAGAGTCTAAGTGAACGAGATGAGATGTCATCAGAAACGTGCTGAACAGTTGTGTGTTTTTGTTTGTGTGCAGATGACATCCAGGTTCGCTTCTATGAAGAGGACGACTCAGGGGTGGCCTGGGAGGCTCTGGGAGATTTCTCCCCCACGGACGTGCACAGGCAGGTTAGTGGTAGGAGTTCATAGTTGTGCTGTTTGTATGAGTCACACCAGCTTCACTGACAAGTTCCACCACAGCTTGTTAAATTGCTGCAGCTGCACTAGAACTGATGTAGTAGAACTAACTGCAGGACAGTGGTTCTAATTTACTGTCTTCAAAAGGTGTTCAGACCCCTTCACTTTGTGTGGTAGATTTAATTTGAAATGGAGAAATGTCCATGTTTGGTCATCAGTACACACTCAGTAACCCCGAGCCCACCTGTGGTAAACTGAGCCGACCGGACAGAGGGCAGAGAGACACACCTGTGCAGTTTACACTGCAAGTCAGGACACAAACCAGGACATGAAGTCCAGGAGCTCTCTGTGGTCAGACTGTGGTGAGGCCCGGATCAGGAAGAGGGGATCAAACCATGTCTAAAGCTCCGAGCGTTCCCAGGGGCATAGTGCCTCGGTAACTGGGACATGGAGGAAGTCTGGAACCAGCAGGACTCTTCATGGAGTCCGCGTCGGATCAGACTGAGGAACCAGATGAGAAGGGCCTTGGTCAGATTTCAGTTTGTGATTTGTTTATTTAATAAATAAATCAAGATGGCGATGTGTTCTCTGCCACCAGTTTGCCATCGTCTTCAAGACTCCGAAGTATCGAGACCTGAACCTGCAGAAGCCGACTTCGGTGTTTGTCCAGCTGAAGAGGAGATCTGACAACGAGACCAGCGAGCCCAAACCCTTCACCTACCACCCTCAGATCATAGGTATGCTTCAGGTGGCTCCACCCACATGCAGGTACAGGTAGGAGACTGGTTAGGTTACTACTTATCCAAATGTAACACACAGTTGGATGCAGACTTTTGGGCAAATCACATATTTACTTGAGGTTTGAAGCAAGACGTAAATCCAGCTGCTGCAGCAAATGGACGTTAAAATGAGCCTTTTAATTAGAGAAAGATTAGTTTTTATTTAAATCAACTTTAAGACAGAAAAATGTACAGTCCTAATATCCAAAGGCTTGTGCACCCTGCTGTTGCACAGTGTCTTCTGTAATGAGAGACCAGCACACACACACACACACACACACACACCCGTGAGCCGTTTCCTTTAATTTCATCACATCAACCCAGGTGTTTCAGCTCTGCTCCTTCAGTTTCATGTTCAGTCCTTTTTACTTTTCAGCAGTACTAGTGGTCTGTCAGCTGATGACCAATGGGTCATCAGCACCAGTCTTAACTTTCAAAGGACAGTGTCGAAGGCAAACGTCTGTGCTTTCACCTGTGTCCTGGTTTAGGGTTAGGTTGACCCTCTTTTATTTATGTATTTATTTATTTTTGTGCTTTTAAAAAATAAAAACAAGGTCAAAGCCTGAACTGATGCCCAGTCTTACACATAAAAAAACACTTTCTTCATCATCAATTAACCAGAAGTAAAAAAAACACACACACACTTGAAAAGTAGTTTTTATTTTAAATCAAAATGTCTCCTCCTTTAAATGACATCGTGAAAGAATATTTTAAGGAGAAATTACTCCAACAGGCAGTAGAATCCAGCTGTTGTCACTGAAACGTTGTTTTAAAAAGTGGTTTGAACATCTCAACGGGGAGCTGATAGTCCTGCCTTTCAGGGTGAAAGCAGTCTGGCCCAGTACTCCCATTGTCAGAGCTTTTAAAACACTGACATCTAATACCCTGTTATCACCAGGGAAACGTGATGACAGATGGTTAAAGTGCAGTGACGGTGCAGGTAAACACTGCCCCCTACTGGATTCCTCTATTGATTTTTATGATTACTTGGTGTTCAGATAAAGAGGAGGTGCAGAGGAAGAGGCAGAAGACACTGCCCAACTTCCAGGACTTCAGCAGTCACGGGCGAGGAGGAGGGGGTCTGTACCGAGGAGGAGGAGGAGGAGGAGGTCCAGCTGCAGCCGGTGGCCCCGGCTCTGCAGGAGGAGGAGGAGGAGGTATAATCAGTAGGGGTCAGCACAAGTCTGGAAAACCATTGAGAGTTTGGACAGTTACAGCAGATTTTAAAACTGATGATGTGGGTATGTTTGATTTGTCTTCCAGGTTACTTCCAGGGTTTTACTGCCTATAACTATGGAGGAGGAGGTGGGGGAGGAGGGTTCTCTACAGGATACTCACCTGGCCTGGGAGGAGGAGGCATCAAGCATGGTGAGAAACAACACAGCACAGAAACCGTCATCCACAAGAACTAGAAACCAAGTCGGTGAATCCCATTAAGCTGATTGTTCTTCATGTCCTTTGTCCTCTCTGCCAGTGTGGATGTGGAGTAGGTGTTTGGTTGCAGTCAGACTGGTCTAAAAGGTCATAAATCATCCTACATTTAACTTGATGAAACTTGCACATACTGTGAACAAGAGCAGAACACAGAAAGCACGTAGACTATATGTTTTGTCCATCCATCCATTTTCTTCCGCTTATCCGGGACCAGGTCGTGGGGGCAGCAGTCTAAGCAAAGATGCCCAGACCTCCCTCTCTCTAGACACTTCCTCCAGCTCCTCCGGGGGAATGCTGAGGCGTTCCCAGGCCAGCCGAGAGACATAGTTCCTCCAGCGTGTCCTGGGTCTTCCCCGGGGCCTCCTCCCGGTGGGACATGCCCAGAACACCTCCCTAGGAAGGCGCCCAGGAGGCATTCGAAACAGATGCCCGAGCCACCTCAGCTGGCTCCTCTCGATGTGGAGGAGCAGCGGTTCTACTCTGAGCTCCTCCCGGGTGACCGAGCTCCTCACCCTATCTCTAAGGGTGCGCCCGGCCGCCCTGCGGAGGAAGCTCATTTCGTTCGCCTATATCCGGGATCTTGCCCTTTCGGTCTTGATATATGTTTTGTAGAAAAAGAAAATCTTATTTCATGACTCTTAACTTCTCCTAAAAGAAGAGAAAAGTCCAACCGAGTGTTGTGTTAAAGCCTCTCAGGGCGGCGCAGCAGATGACGGCGGTGACTATGGTGATCCAGATGATGGCTCGGGGTCAGGGACAGTGCTGCGAGCTCCAGCACAGACGGAAGGCCTGGATTTCGGGGAGAGTGCTGAGCAGGGAGGGGCCAGTGTGGCGCCAGAACCAGACGCAGGTACACTTCCACTGGTGCAGTACACACACCCAGCTCCAACTGTTGCTTTAGCTCAAACTATGGATGGATTACAGAATCCAATATTGCAAATAATTCTTGGACTCAGTTTCGAGTTTTCATACTAAACACATCTTAAAATCGTTAACAAGGTGTTACTGTGATGTTCATGAGCACCGCAGACAGCTGATGTCAGTGCAGTGTCACCAACCGTCTGACATCTGTTTGTAGAAGAAACTCTGAGGACGCTGTGGTGACGCAGCCCAGTTTCACACTGCGTTTCACAGTTTAAAATAAAACAATGTTTCACTTGAAATGTCTTGCCATAACAATGATGTTACGTGTATGTGATGCAGATGAGCGGCTGGTGCAGGTGACCAGCAGACAGGTGGAGGCTCTGTTTCAGTACTCTGTCACAGGAGATTCGGCGTACCTGCTGGCTCCGCAGTGCCCCCTGATGACCGCGCAGGATGAGGACGGAGACACGTCAGTACACAGAATACACACGCACACAGTTTAAACTGGAAAAGGAGTTAGATGTGTTTGAACAGAGTGTGCCGTATGTACAGCTTTTCACAGATGAAAGCTCCTAACCAAAGTCTTCTCAGTCTCGGGGGGGTCTGGTGAGACACTGACAATTGTTTCCTAGCAGCGATGTGAACTATGGATACCTGGTTGGGACAAACTGAACAAAATGCAGCCTCCAGTCTGAAGCTAGCATTAGCTAGCTGACAGCAGCAGCAGGGTGTCAACTGATGAGGTTGACAGTGTAGTGATGCTGTGTGGCTGCCATTGTTTGTGGAGGATGTGTTTACTGAGTTATGTCTGTCTGATAAGGAGATGGACAGCTAAGCCAACTCAGCTGTTTGGGCGTATCATGATGGAAATGGGGACTTGGAACCGCAGCTAACACCTGAACAGAAACGAGCTGGTGAAAGGTTCACTGACATAGTCACAGTGAGAGTCAAGTGAGGCCAGTCAGACTTTCACTTGCCCAGAGCTGCTCATGGCTGGCTGTTTAACACTGCTACTGGCGGCTGGAACTAGGTGGCAGGTGGGGCTAATTCATGGGCCGAGTGTCACTGGGGGTGGGGGACATCACTGGGTGGAAAGTCTCAGTTAAAGCAGCTGTAGTGTAACAGTGTAAAAGTTGGTGCAACACTGCAGTGTCTTTCCTTCTTGTATCCTCCTCCCTCCTCTCCTCCTCTCAGTGGGCTCCATCTCGCAGTTCTCCACGGCCAGCAGGAGGCACTGAAGAGTCTGACTCAGGTGGCGTGTGCTCTGGCTGGAGAGGAGGTGCTTGACATGAGGAACCACCTCTACCAGGTAAGCAGTATTGGAGCTTCACCTTGTGCTCCCCAGGTGGGTGTGTGTCTGTGTTTTGGCTGATAGAAGCTTTTTCATGTTCTGCGTTTCTTTGGGGGTGTTGATTGCGCATGTCCTGTTAAAATGTCTCCTTGTTCCCCTCACTTGCATTTCATCTGTTTCTGTGTGGAGTTTAAGCAGTTGCACCATTCTGCATCCCTAAAGAAACCTGTTAGCACACTGTAACACTCCACTCTGTGTATCCCAGACTCCTTTGCACCTGGCGGTGATCACCCAGCAGAAGGAGGCAGTGGAGGCACTGCTTTTGGCTGGCGCTGACCCAACTCTGACAGATCGCCATGGCAACACAGTGCTCCACCTGGCCTCCCAGCAGGAAGGGGAAGGCATGGTCCAGTTGTTACTACAACACAGAGAGCTGAGAGGGCTGGTGGAGCAGGCCAACACAGCAGGTCCACACACACACACACACACACACACACACACAGCTACATGTCTCAGCATGACCTGTTTTTTTTAATATGCATTAGTCTCAACTGGTTTTCACTTAAACTAAACTATACAGTTCTGAATCTGTTTGAGCCGTTCATAACTTACTATTCTCATTTTCTCGGACTCCTCACATCTTAAATGGAGAAAACCAGTGCCGACCATCTAACAGTTCAGATTTACCAGGCTGAAGAACTGCTCGCCATGTGTCAGTACATAAACACCGTTGGAGCTACCGTTTCTTTTCATCTGTCACGCAGCAGTAGATGATTCATTGTAACTGGTCCATTTGTTTCTGTGCACATCTGGGTTAGGTCACTTTTATTGTTGACCAACTGCGACATGTTGTAAATGTCATAACTTTTCTCTGACTGGTTACATTTAGTCTTTTGTGCTGTTAAATAGTTGTACATTTAATTTGGTGCATGCTGGTGTGTGACGATTCGGCTGTTTCCGTGGTTACCAGGTATGTGTGCGATCCACGAGGCAGTTCTGGCCAATCGGCTGTCTTCTCTCAGGAAGCTACTGGAGGGCGGGGCTAACGTGGAGGCTCAGGAGCGCAGCTGTGGACGGACCGCCCTCCACCTTGCCACTGAGACCGACAACGTGTCGCTGGCCGGCTGCCTGCTACTAGAGGTACACACTGGGTACACTGGGTGGTTCTGAGAGTTCCAGAACTTAGTTTACTGGTTACACTGGTCAAGTTCGGCCTATACCAAGTAAAATCTAATGGTGTGTGTAACGTTTCCTGTCATCAGGGAAATGCCAAGGTGGACTGCTGCACCTTTAACGGCTCCACCCCACTCCACATCGCTGCAGGGAGGGGCTCTGTCAAGCTAACAGCGCTGCTCATGGCTGCAGGTAGGACACAGTGGGCCTCTGGGCACACATATGCAAAAGGCCCCCACCCTCCTACATTGGAGCCCAGAGTAGGGGACAGAAAAACTGACAAACACAGCGGTGGCCACTTTTTCTCTTTGTTTTGTGTCCTTTTGAAGGCATTTGATTGGCTTTCCACAATGGCTGATTATTAACCCTGTGACTCTGGGCTTCCCTGGGTGGAGACAGGCCCGTGCACACGCCTGCAGAGCTGTGTCTGCTCTCGCATTTCATTCAGGAACTATTTTACTGCTTTCGTGGCAGAGAACTGCTACCAAAACCAAATGTTGACGGAGCAGTGGGGACGATACAAACTGCATAAACACAACAGCCTAAAACCCTGACCTCAGTAGTTTGTGGTCAGTCATAGCAAGCTTGACCCTTGGGTTGTCTGTTCGAATACTAGTACAAAGGAGCTGTATCACTCAGTGGCAGTAGTAAGATACAGTAGCACCTGCACTTGTATGAGAGCGTTAACCCCTGTGTCTTGTCAAATGTGTTTGAGTCCCTCAGTGTGAACCTCAGTTTCAGAGCATCTCTGAGACTTCACTGAGTCGGTGTTTGTGTGCCTGCAGGTGCAGACCCTCATAAGGAGAACTTTGAGCCCCTCTTCTTCAGAGAGCAGTGCTGTGGTGATGATGAGGAGGACGAAGATGAAGGCTACATACCAGGAACAGCTCCACTCAACATAGCCTCCACCAATCAGGTACAGCAGCTTCATAACATCTATCCCAGGTCTAAGGGCCTTGGACTGAACTTTCACCCTGAAGTCAGTCAACTACAAGTATAAAAGTATTTTGCTCTGTAGTTGTAATACTTCAGAAATGTTCATATCGCTCTGTCCTACCTGGGGCATTGAAGTCAGATCTGTGTCTGCAGGTGTTGGAGCTGCTGCACGGTAAAGAATATGAGCCACAGCCTCCTCCCAGAGCATTCAGCCCTCCACAGGGTGAGTGACCGCAGCACACCTACCATATGCAACATACTTCAAGTACTGTACTGGAGTACAAGTACCTCAAAATTATATTTTGAGGTACTTGTATTTCCATGTCCTGCTACTACTGTGACTTCACTTCATGTCAGAGACAAACCGTGTACTTTTTACTACACTACATGTACCTGATACCTTCAGGTACAGAATCAGATGAATCAAACCAAACCCAGTAGAACCATCAGACTCTATTGATCCCAGTAGGAAATCCACCAGCTACCCAGCAGGATGGAAAGTACTTCCCAGTATAAGTATATAAGGTAGTTACCATCAGCTCCACCTTTACCAGCTGCAGCATTAAAGTGATGGACACAGTAATTAGTCACTATGATCCAGTATCAGAGACGTTACTGGGACACGGGCCGTTCTGCTGGACCAGTACTGGTACTTCAAGTATAGTAAGTGTGGCAAACAGGAAGTAAAGGGCAGATTAGAAAGCTGGAATTCCCAGAGGAAGGAGTGGGAAAAGTCCAGATCACCATCACCAAGCGGCAGCGTCAACACTGTGTGGTTGAAAGTTTTAACAGTGGAGCGTGCAGATTGGGTTAAGGACCCTAAAACTCTGTCTGCTGTTTGTTTTCCTTCAGCAGTCTGAACTGAGATTCAGACAGAGCTGAAACCAGAATCAGCAGTACAGAAATGTCATTACAGTCGGTTTTCTCTGTGAACCTGGACGTTTGTGTAGGTGACCTGGTGAGCCTGGACGTGCAGGTGAAGCAGCAGCTGTGTCATGCTCTGGAGAGTGAAGGATGCTGGGAGAATCTGGCTCACAGTCTGGGTCTTGGGATTCTCAACACAGCGTTCAGGCTGAGCCCCTCCCCCGCCAAAACACTGCTAGACAGCTACGAGGTAAAAGCAAACACACACACACACACACTGTTAATCCAGATTCCATTTGATTACATTGTTTCCACATTTCCAGTGAAAATGTGAATCAAGACATTTCTGGGCCCTGCTTTCTGTTGTGCAGGTTTCAGGTGGGACAGTCAAGGACCTACTGGCTGGTCTCAGGTTAGGCGGCAAGTGTAGCGCACTGAGCATCCTGGAGGAGGCGCTGAGCCCCTCTGACATCGAGGAAACCCCGAACGAGACAACCGGTTAGCAGATCACATGATCCTCCAACCAGGTAGATTGTCTGTCTGTCACCATGGCAACAAGTCACTCAGTTCTGGTTTCTTTCTGCAGGCGAGTATCTGTGTGCTCAGGTTCAAGATCTCAAGGTGGATGTTCGGCTCGACAGTGGGATGTGCGACAGCGGGGTGGAGCTTTCCACAGTGTAACCAGTCTGATTGGTCCGTCTCCAGCTGGTGTTATGGTGGGGGGGGACGACTCCTCCTTCAGGACAGTTTTCAGGGCTCAGTTTTTATTCAAACATGTGAAACAATTTCATTTACATTAAGTGATGAACTAGGAAACGACAACCATGAATGATGCTTGACCTTTTCACCCACACTACGCTCCAACAGCTCAACCAAGGAATGTAGATCTGGTTTTGTTCCTTGTACTGTGGAAACAAACGTCACTGTCAGTTTAAAGGAATAATTCACCCAAAAATACATTTTGCTCCATCACCTCTGAACACAAGTAGAGAGTCCCTCAAACATCACATGGATAATCATGCATCAGCTGGACTTGAAGATTCTGGGTCCTGATGAAGCTTTGACGCTGCCTGCAGGTTTGTCTGTTGTGTAGCAGGGCACAGGTGCTATTATTGTGGATTGTAAAGAAGAGAAACGGCCTTAAAGCCTCAGTGCAGATGTTTTCATATGAGCCTCGTGCAGGACATGAACATCTGAAAACATGGAACTGTCTTTTAAATGTGCTGATTTTATGAGTAACTTTGTTTAATTATTTTTTTAAGTTGTATTTGCTTACTTTTTACATTTACTTTTTCTGTTTTAAAATTAATCTGACTTGGACTGAAACAATGACTCAAGGCATTGTGGCAAATGTAGTCAAGTTGTGAGGAGTTCCTGCTGCTTTGTGCAGCACATATTTATATCTCCACACTCCACTGTACAGTTCATCATGAACTTAGTTTTTTTTTTTTAAATAAAATGAGTCTAATACACGAGTGACGTGTTCAGAGCTGGTTTATATGACGCCTTTAGTGAATACTTCGCCTTCACTACATTTATCTGCAGCTATAGTCACTGAAACAAACTGGCAACAATTTGTTTTTTTACCGGTATAAGCTTCTCAAAGGTGGAGACTGAACTAGTTTCCCAGTTCTGTTGTAGTAGCACTCAACTTCACTGGGCTTTTAAACTGGGGGAGAGAGTCATCTGAATACGTTCACCTGGCCTTCAAGTGTTTATTCTTTGACCAATCAATTAACCACAACTGTCAGATGTATTGATAATAAAAATAAGGGCTGGTTGCAGCCTCAGTTCTGTGACGGAACAATGCAACCTGTCTGGTGTTTCCTCCATTTTACTTACACAGAAATAATTTGGAAAAAACAAAGGAGCTTGGTGAAAACTAAAACAGATCAAGGCTCAAACCATTTCTGGAGCCCGAGTTCCTCAACAATATGCAGGATGGAGTTGTTTTACTAGTGAGTAATCAAATGATGAGTAAACCTGCACCAGTGTGTCTACATTTAAAGGTCAGTATGACACATTCACCTCCTGCAGGTTTGACATGCGACCTTTGAGGGTGGAGTCAGAAGTGAGAGCACCACCTCCTGGTCTGCACAACTGCTCTGCTCCTGGTTTGCTCAGAGAAGATGACTTGTTGACAGAGGCAGTGGAACAAAACCTCGGTACATGCAACAGTCACCAGGTTACTTATTACTGCAAAGCCTTCACCTGATGCTAAATACGAAGCTGCATTAAAACACCTATTCAGGCATCAAAAGTAACAGTAGTACACAACCTCTCTGCAGTACTTTTACATGTTATTACTACATAATGTAAAGTACTACAAGTCCTGCATTGAAATGATACACATACGAGTACTACTGTTACCAGAACATATTAGTAACTTGATGATAAAACAGACCCAGTGCACTAACGGCCTAAGGCAGACTGAGTGACATGTCCAGCTGCTGAGGAAAACCATGAGCTGTTGTAGAAAGCTCCAGAAACATTACGTAGGCTACTGAAAGACATTTCCCAGATCAAAAATCAACCCCTGAAGCTCCAGATACTTGTCATGTCAAAGCCGTTAACACTAAAATCCAAAACTAGTGTGAACATTTACCTTTCAGTTTCCAGGAATCTTCCAGTCCTTTCCAGGTGTTGGTTTAAAACAATATGTAGGACTGACAGAAATGAAAATAAACACAGGACAAAAAAGGTGCATTTTGTTTCCATTTATTGAGAAAAACGTGACAGAGCGATTAGTTGATCAATCAGCCGTCGAGATTCTTCAGTGCAAAAAGAGTGAACAGTGTCGTGGATGACGGATGAACTAACTGCTCTTCTCTAAAAACCTCAAAGACAAAAAAACCCCAAAGAAGCTGTCGTCGTTTGTTTTTTAAAAGTGGGCGAGTCTGTTCTGAGCAGCACATGAACCATCAGTGACATGCATTAATGTTACAGGTTCATTCTCCTGCAGGTTATTTACTCTAACAGGCCTTTCCTCGGTCAGGTTTTACAGTGGACCCCCTCTGCTCTGTGGGCCTTGTTCTGCAGCCCTTCATTAGAAAGCAGAGGTGGGGGTAGATACAGGGTTAAAAAGCATCAAAGCTGAGAATGGGACAAAATAATGTGAACAAACTGCTGTTATTGTCTGACGAGGGGCTGTGAGAAAAATCAAAAAGTTTGTTTCCAGCAGCGTGGGAGGAGACGTGGATCACATGGCGTATTTCTGAGTCCAGTCTTGAGCCGTCTTGTTGTACCTGCAGACACAAACACACAGGCCGTCAGCATCAGCAGCTGCTTCCGCCGCCGCAGGGACAATGCCATGCCTGGAAACACACATACTGCAGACAGATACACACACTACTCCAGCACAAGCTACTGGGAAGACAAGGGCATTTTACAGCATCCACCTGCTTCATCGGTGCCTCATGTGATGTCAGACAGGCAGGACAAGACTCCACAGTCCCACGAAGCTACATCGAACCAGTGACATCCGCAGTTAGTTTGACGGATGAGGCTGCTGATGTTCTACTGTTATTTCCCACAAATCACTGGGGTGGGTTTAATAGCTGGTGGAGGTCTACGGCACAGAGCGATAAGCTGAACCAGGGTCTGGACTCTCACACATTACGGTGAGGACGCCACATTCACTGGTGCTGCTGGTCTGTGGACGAGGTTTGTGCACAATAACAGAAACGGACACAGTCACTGGCTGCGTCCTTCAGGATGCCAGAGCTAACCCCAGAGTTGTGTGTCCTTGTTGAGTTCCCCTTCATCAAAACCCAACCAATGAGGGGGAAACACACTTGTAACAAGAAGGACACACAATCTGAGCAGGGAACAAGCTGCTTCTTCACTGCGAGTTGTGCTGTGTCCACAGGAGCGGTGGTGTTAGAGGGAGTGTGAAGAGGCTGTGACATCAGCAGCTGCTGGGGTAAGTGTTATTTACCAAGCAACCACACTGAACTTGTGTTACAGTCAGCAGCTCACCAATGGTTGGATGACGGCAGCACGGGCCCCTGAGCACAGACAGGTACGAGGCCCCCGCCACTCCTACACTGCCAGGCTCACACACTGATCAACCACATGATGCGTAGTCACTTCGTGTCTTCTTGTGCTCGTGTCCTTTGTTTTACATCACCTGTTTTTACTTGTTCACGTCTTTTTTCATCGTTTGATTCTCTTTGTAATTGTTCTGTCGCCTGTTTCTGTTATAATTTTCTACTCACGTTGAATCTTTGGAGTCTGTTATGTCTCTCTGTAGTTGGTTTGCATCTTATTTGCCCCGTTTTGTGGCTATTTCCCAGATGATCCCAGTGTCTTGCCTAAGGACACTTGGACAGCCGGCACTGAGATTCGAACCTTCAACCTTCTGGTTGGGAGACGACTGCTCTACCCAAGGCACCACTGTCGCCTCCCCCATCCCAAGATCAACAACTCCAAACAAGAAAACGTTGCTCATTCTTCCTGATGTGCCGTCTTCAGCCTGGTGAAGATCGTGTGTCTGCTGACAGACGCAGGTCCGAGTCGGTTTGGATGAACTAGACTGAACGCCCCAGTAGCGTTTGCACTGTGACTTCTGAGGCCCTGTTACTGTGAAGCTGTTAGTTTCACCAGTCAGACATGATTAGCTCTGTTAGACATGACTTGCGGCGGTTTGTGGGGACACACCGACACCAGTACCAGGTCCAATACCACCCTCTAGTACTCAAGTTTGTCATGACTTTATCCATCCCAAAAGAGGGCTGTGCTCCTCAAGATTTCAGAACGCTGTTACAGTAAGTTGTGTTGCACTTGGTCAGTCTACATTTAACTGGAACAGAGGCAGCGCCCTGTTTGTTCACACACAGCTTCCTGACATAGACTTGATTTAATCATGGTCAGGAAGTAACCACGACCTCATGGGAACAAAACGGTCTCTCTTTTTACAGAAGAAACATTATAATGGTGTAGTTGTACTTGATATCAGACCGTACTCAAATACAAGTACTTGTACTTGGTATCTGTGCGTCCCTGTAGTCTGTCATTAAAGCAGTAAGTAGCCAGCTGTCTGGACTGTGTGTCCAGCTGTGCTTCAGTAAATGAGGTGTGCATGTCTGGGCCCTGGTCTTCACAGTCAGAGCCATGCTAAGCAGCAGCGTGCTTCCAGTCAGATGCAGCTTGTGCAGTTTCCCCCAGACACAGTGAGGACAGACTCAGCAGCTGAGCCTCTGCTCAGCTCTTACCCTCACAGCATGGCATACTTCTCTGTCCACTCCCTGGCTAGTCTGTTATACCTGAGACCAACCAGCGGGACACACTCGTTAAAACGCTGCCTCTTCACCACACTCTACTCAGGGTTTAATGTGCACGTGTACAAATGAAGTCTGGATCTATAGTCGAGACTCAACACAACATTAGCTTCCAGAGAAACCTAGGAAACAGAGTGACTTCAGAGGGACGCGGAGCCCAGGATCAACATGCTGCCGTTCAGCTTTAATCAGCTTAATGGAGCCGAGGGACGACGAAAGGCTCTGCATGCGATTTGATCTCTGACTGAACTGAACTGCTGGTCGTTCCTGTCATTTCAGACATCTGTCTATTAGGAAGCTCTCGTACACATTCTGTCAGCTGTGGCGTGAACTGAAGGCAGCCCAGTGAGTGGTGGGTGCTCCAGGAGCCAAAACACCAGCTTCACTCCATTCTTTATAACGACTGTACCAGCGGCTGACTTTGCACAGTGCACAGCTAAAAGGTTGAATAAAATAGACAGTAAAGTTTAAATGGCCGTAAAGCTAAGTGTAAAGGAGTCGTTTCTACTGGTGTAAGTTGACTCTACTTCCTGGATCACCTCAGTGAACAGGTTCTGGTTCGTGTGCAGTTTTTATGTCATCTGTATGAACTCACCTCACAGGGTCTGTTTTGTAGATGCGGGCGATCTCTGGCACTAGCGGGTCATCGGGGTTCGGGTCACATAACAGAGAACAAATGGACAAAAGGACTGCAGAGAGGAGACAGTGGGCAGGTCAGTGTGGAGAACAGCACCACCTGGTGGTCACAGTCTGACATGAACAATACTGCTGTGAACCTTTAAAAGCTCTAAGCCGGCCTTACACCTAACGACGTGTAGCGATTCTGCATCACAGATACATTTTCAACGTCAGAATAAAATCATGAGAGTCTTGCTACAGTCCTGTCGTGCTCACATCATCTCAATCATTTGGTGCAAGGTGGAGATCTGAGCCGTTTTAGGTCCGTCGTTTTCTCATCTTGATGTTCTGATAAAATTAAACAGCTTATTACTATTCAAGTCTTTTGTCTTGGCCCATGCAGACAGCGCCGTGAACATCATAAACAACCAATAGGTGAGTTCTCTCCAGCACCAAATACGAAGCAGCGGTAAATATGACAGAGACTCTAGTGACTCCGTGTTTGGGAATGCACGGTTCTGTTGGACCGTAACAAAGGAGGAGAAACTGCTGGAGTTGTGGAGTGAGCAATAGTCTGTCTGACGTGCCATCCAATTTGTGTCGTGACAGAGTGGAGAAAGAGGCGGACAGGTGGACAGACCTCGCCGCCCCCTTTCAGTCAAACAGGGCTGTGTCCACATTCTGCCCTGCCTTAGTCTTTTGGCTGTTTTTTCTAAGCAGATCACTGTGAAGTCAAACACAGCTGCCGCCAAATGCAGGAGCATATGGGAAGTAGTTTCCAGAGAAATCTAGCTGCAGTCTTGCAAACAGCGACCCTGTAAGATCCTCCGTCTTTGCAAAACCATTAGTCTATGACTGTAAGGCCGGCATCAATACTGAAGCCAACACGTACAAAGACAGATCTCAGTGTCTGAACCTCATGAAAACGTTCACAATGAAGTCAATGTGTAAAACGATTCAAGAACATCTTTATTTTATTGGACTGGAGTTGGATTCAACTTCACTCTGATGTCAAAGAAGAAGAAATAAGAAAACCACCTCTGAATCGTTCACTTTGATTTTCTTCACTCCTACACATGTACCCTCAGTTACTGACCCTTCCTGTTTGGGGGGGACTCGCTGCGACTGGACTCTGTACAGCTAAACTAAGGTGTGATCGAGCCGGGCTCTGAGCCAGTAGGTCGACCTGTGACAGGCTCAGCGCTGTGCTGACATTCCTGAACAGAAGCCGGACGCCAGTGTCTGTGCACAGCTTCTCAACGTCCAGTCTAAATGTTCCCATCAGAAACTTGGGGAAGTTCTTGGAACGATTCTAATGACTAGAACAACTAATATAAAGCAGCCCTAGTAGAACCAATCATTTTTAGATTTCAATTTAGTGATCAACATTAAGCACGTTTTCTATAACAAGGTTGTTAATATGAAGCAAAGCAGCTACACCCCTCTCCCATCACCACTTTCAGGCCATGTCAGGCCTTTTTCTCACCTTTAGAGATAGTTAATGCTGGAGACCACTGTGACCTCAATATATCCAAGCAGATGCTGCCATTACTGTTAATATTTGGGTGATAAATTCTTGTTGTGAAGGCGACCTGAGGGGAGAAACACATGTGTTAATCTGTGGTGGCTCAGTCAGAAGCACACAGACCAAAGTACTGAGAGCTGCTCTTTTAGTCCAGACTCCAGGTCCAGTTCTGGCAGATTCACAGCCTAATCTCAGCATGTGTGTATCTACAATGTGTTACACCAGAAAACATTCAGTGGGCCTACGTCGTGAGCAAATCCACACACAGGGTTTCTGCAGGTTCCATCATTGTATTTGAGACTTAAGACCTTTTTTTTTTAACATGCAATTTAAGACGCTTCACATCTGTACTGACAAACTATAAAGAAAAATCAGCTGAGCATTCATGTTGATTACAAAATCAACCAGTGTGCAGTTTTACTTTGTCACCTAAACATTTTCCCAGAAACACCACTGAAGCTAACGTGACAGTACAGAAGTAAACTTATTTAAATAAACCTAAACATGGTCAATAATGTTTTAGTCAAGGCATTTTAAGTCTTTAAGATTTAAATTTGGATTGATTTGAGGCTTTTTAATGACCTGCTGAAACCCTGCATACATACAAAGCCTAATGTAGATTTTAAGTAAACTTATGAAAAAGCAAAAAAAGTATTTGACAACAAAAAACTTCAAGAAAAACAAAAATAAAATATGCAGAATGCACACATACCCAATTCAGTCGAGACACAAATGTTATGGGTGGTCTACTCCAAAAGTTTACTGCTTCGTAGAAGTGCACCAATACCGCTATTTTCAGTGAGCGCTGATACAAGTACTTCGTAATAACGCAGTACTCCTACTAGAAAAATTACAATACTCATAAAAGTGCAGTGACTTCACAGTTTTTCATTTTCTTGGGATTTCCCTTCTGATCAGGATTAAATTTGACGGGAGCCGTTAACGACATGAAATCAGTATTTTCTTCACTGCCGTCAGCTGATCGAGCGCCGCGGGGGTTCACCGGGTGAACATGGAGCAGACAAGTCGGCCACAGGAGAGCAAAGACATTTCTGAAAGTGTGGTTTCTGCCTGTTCAACAGGTGTTTGGTAATCTGCTCGTGCTCACTCCCTTACTGGAGGATTTAGTCGCTGTCGTCTCAGTTAAACACAACTTCGTCTCACCTCTGCTGTGTGTGTCTGTGAGCCCACGTTATATTTACAATATTTCTGAACAGCTGACACTTTTCCTCTGCTCACAAGTGTGAGGTGAATGTAATGTCGTTAAAGCTCATTAGCGTGTAGTGTCAGACATCTATTAGCTACAGTACGAGTACTGCAGGGCGGTACCGGACCTAATGCTGGTCTGCATTGGTGCATTTCTACTGCCTGGGATACACCAGTTCAGAAACATGGGGTTTACTGACTTTTTTTTTAGGAAAAATACACCGCCCTGATAGGGACTGTCAGGCTGCAACAGAACACACACAGAACACAGGTTGCACAGTCAGACTGTCACACATGGTGACCAACAACATGTAGTGTAGATTTAACTGCATTACAACAATAACCTGCTGCTATTTCCTGAACAAGGTGTGATGTTGTCAGAAGGATCACGTTTCAAATCAATAATCAAGACAATACGATGAGGAACCAAATGATACTTAAAGTGGTTCTGATTACTTTTCCCCTACAAAAACACAGTTTGATACTTACTGGGCCCATAATAGTAGCTTGCCAATGGAACACTGGAAAAAATATGGAAAATTAAGGGTTAATGAAGCACACTGTGTGCGTTTCAGGAGAACACATAGACAAACCGACAGGAGGCATCTTACTGTCTTCGCCGACAGGCCCGGCCGAGCACTGAGCCGGAGGGTCTCTGGACAGGTCAGTTAGCTCCTGGAGAAGCAGAGAGAAGAGAGACAGGTCTGGGTCAGGATCCTCAGTCTGCTCGACCAGTTTCATCCACTTCACCCCGAAGGGTGTTTGACAGGTTTGATTTGACTCTGCAGCGTAAGATGTGGAGTCACTCCACTTGTCTGCATCCGTCAGTGTGATGTGTTCATGTACATGTGAGGAATCTGAAGTCTGCGACCAGCTGAGATCACTTGACACAAACCGCCAGCGGAAACAACTGTGCCATGTTTGTCTGCTGCTGGGTTGCTTTGCATTTTGTTCTCCAGGTTGTTTCCTGTTTGAAAGCAGCAGCTCTGTGTCACCGCCACGCAGACAAACACACAAAGCTGTTGGACTGATCCAACAAGAGCAAAGTTCAGCTGCAGAATGCAACAGTGACCTGGTAAAAGCAGAACTATCAGCAGCAGCCATGTACATGTTCATCTTCTATACTAACAATTAAACTATACTTTTTATTTTTTGCCGTGCCATGTACAGTGTCTGTATTCCTGTCAGTGTACTAATCGTTGCTGCTTAATTCTGTGCTGCTCCACTGGCCATTTTAGCTATAGATTCATCTGCAATTATCTTTATTACCTTATCAAACTTCCAACCACCATCTGGTGTCAGTGTGTCCAGTGTGGAGCTGCAAAAATTGGACGCAAGTTAAATGGAAACTATCTGGAATTTTATCGCTTCAATCAAACATTTACTGGTTTTACAAACCTTTAAATACAAAACTTACAGCTTTAAATTACAAAACTTTAAACAAGGTGCAAGTACAGCAGACACGGACTCCAGGACCTCGACCATCACCCTGCTCCACCTCAAAGCTCAGTCTTTTGTTTGCCGTTAACTTTGTGGCCACTTTCGCTCTCTGAGCCTGTGAACCTATTGGTTAGACCTGGAGATTACTAAATATGAAAATGACTAACTGCAGACCAATGTTACTACAAAGAAAGACATTGGTTTGAGGCCAGACTGGAGCCTGGACTGCGGTGTCATCTACCATGTGAATGCAGCATTAAAAACAAACTGGAGAGACACAGCACTGGTGTGTGAGCAGCAGGTCTATTTTTACTCTGCAACATGTACGGACAGAGGAGATCAGGATATAGCTGGGGGGTCGACACGGCTGCTTATAGGACAAGGAGATTTTATTTCCAGCCTGAAGTCAAACTGGTCACAAGCATCGGTATGTGACATACGGGCTCAGCACACACAGCTCATCTTTCAGATCCAAGTGTGTGTGAGAGGCGAGGACACCTTTTGAAATCGGGCCGGTCAGGAACTCAGAGGCTGACAGAAGCAGCTGGGAGAGCTGGTTTCAAAGTACACTGGTACTCAGGTTTTTAAATGTGCCACTGGTTTTTAAACCCATTCACAAAGCGCTGGTTTACTGGGTATGTCCCCTGGAAATCCTCCCAGCCACTGGTTCTTCTGTACACAGCGGTGCTTCTCACACGCTCTCATTTTTAAGACATGTCAACCCTCTCCCTTAAATCCTTAGGGTACCAAGAAGTGCAGGAAGTCACAGTAAGCAGCATTTCATTCAAAATAAAACTGCTCAACTCTTTTTACAGCTGTCTACATCTTTGTTGTCATTTCCTCGTGAATCAGAAACTTCTTAATAGGTCATATAACACAATTTACCATCTTTTCACAGTGAAAGGCCTACAATTACTTAAAAAATGGATTTATTTACATTTCCATTACGCTATTGTGTCAGGACAACTCTTTGTATGTAAGCATAGCTCCTAGTAATAATCAGTTAATGTGACCTGAATCTATGTATAAATTACACTACACAACACAAAACAACACCAAACCACAGGTCAGGGGGTCTTTTCGGTGCCTGTGCCCAGGGGCCCACTGTCTGTCAATGCCTGGCAGAACAGTAACGCCTGGATCATCCCATTTTAAAAGGAATAATTCATGTGGTCATATGTTTGTTAAAATCAGCACATGTACATCAACAACACTGAGTCCATGAGCTTCCTAACAGCTGTCTCCTGACAGTCATTAAACTATTCAATCTAAGGCCCTTTTGGAAGGAAAGACAGCTTTTAAAGGCTTCCTGGACCCTAACCTTAACCCTAACCTGTGATATCGGTACATAAACGTGTCACCAGTAACAAATAATATAGGCTTAATTTACCTATACGATAAATAACAGCCATATAAATGTAAAGTGTAGTGTACCGACTGTGCACTTTAAAGAGAAACTTCAAGGTGCTAACAGCTCAGACTGAAAGTGACCAACAAAATGTGTCCGTAAAACAAGTGCAGGCCGAACGGTTTTAATGGTCATAGATGACAACAAACCACACAACACTTTAAATGTCAGGCCTGTGAGAGTCCGAAGCTAAAGCTAACATCCCTAAACTCAACCATTGTTTGACCTGAAACCCCGCGGAGCCGCCGCCGGTTATTTCTGCCAAAAGCCTGACTTTAAACGTCGCTCATTTATGTAAACATAACACACAGAAAATACCTTAAATGTCCCCTCGTCGCAAACCAAACCACAGTAAGAAATGGACGGTTTTATGTCTAATATGACAGAACAACAGCTGTGGAGAACGAACTAACGCTGTTTGCTAACAGCGCATAAACATAGGTTAACAGCCAAAATTGATGTAAGCTAATTAGTTAGCGTAAATGTAAAAGAAGCTTAGCTGGTCTTTTACCTTGGAAATTCGTTTTAAAGCCATTGTTTTCTGTGTGAAGGGACTGGCTGTCGAGGAGGAGCTGAAGGAGGAAGAGGAGGGCAGGCCAGCTAGCTGACGCTAACTAACTAGCATCAAGGACTTTGCTAGCTTTTGTGGCTGCTTGAGGTGCTAAGCTAGCTTTTATGGCTACACGTACGCCGGTTAAACTTAAGCAGTTTTCTATATATCTTATCTTATCTTATCTTATCTTATCTTATCTTATCTTAATCACAGGCTACCGCGCAGTCTGAACACTGACTCTCCAGCACGTCAGCCCGGACTTAAGACTGCAACTTAAATAACAGAGCAGACCGACCGCAGCTGCTCAAAATGTCTTCCGTTACACACAACCGTCAGAGCACCGGGAACAGGAGGCGTCACTCTGACTTTTTTTTTTTTTTCAAAACACCGCAGACGGCACCCAACAACACAGAGAAGGTATGGCCAGGTGAACCTCGGACTAGTGACGTAGAAAAGAGGCTTTACGAAGCTTTGAACCAATTGCTTCGGACAGAAATGGTTGCTTGTTCTGAAACATTTGAATCACCCACGCTGGTGACATCTGCTGGCCAAATACCGTAAATACAACAGATACGGCCAACAATAGGACTCAGACCGTTTTCATTGATTTATAGCCTACATTTTTTAAATTATTTTGTGAAACAAATGTATGTACAGTATATGTATATGTGGTGGCAAACGCTTTTTTTGGCTGGACCTTGATGACGAAGAGTGTTATCAGTGTTTGAGTCATTCTTGTCTGACCACTTGTATATATTCTTTATGTTCTATTTATAAATATGCGTCATATATAAGAAGGTATTTAATTTGATATACCTTCAAATGGGAATACATTTTCAACAAAACTTGAGAAATAACAGTAAATCCACAGTTTTCAGACACAAGTGGTTTCTCCTTTTACAGACTATTTCCCCAGCCTTGGAAAAAACCAGTTCACATGGCACAGATGAGGCCGGGGTACACAGGAAATGCTTGGCTAACTTATAAAAGTTTGGGTAAACAGTTTTGTGGGTGGCCCAGTATGTGAGGAGGTCATCAGTTCTTTCCAGGGGACGATCAGCCAGGTATCGGTTCACTTCCACAATTGCATTAGTTGTGGCGCTTTGCATGTTCCTGGCTCAGGCTTGATCTTGATTCAAACGTCTCCACAGGTCAATACCTGAAAAATATTGAAGATCATCAGGGACATTTTCCTGGTTGTCTCCTGCTGTGGCTCCATCTACCTAGATATGTATATGTAGCTAGATAGTTTATGTATTCTCTCTCTCTCTCTCTCTCTATATATATATATAAGTCTCTTATATATGTGGTATATATAGATATATCTTATATAAATGTATCATATCTAAGTATATCTTATCTATCTATATATGTAATATAGCTATATATTTATATCTAACATTAATTAGGACTATCTATGTAAAAATATATATATATATAGTGTTATCTGTGTAAGTAAATTTATCTGTTTCTCTATGTAACTTACTATCTATTGATCTATCTCTCTATCTACACTAATTCTCTACTAAATACACAATCTGCTACAACACTACAAACTCTCAAAGCAATAACTAACAGCAACAACAACAACAAACCAACCTGTTCTGCAAAGACCAATTCAAATAAACACCACTAAATAGGGATATCCTGTCTCTGACCACACTCTGTAGTGATTCACATGACAAACCGAACCAGTCAGCTGAGTCACATGACGTCTGACACACCCAACTGCTTCAGACATCACTCAAGTGATTCAAAATATCATGTATGTTAATTTAAATAACAACTTTTATTACTGATGGTAACTACCTTATATACTTATACTGGGAAGTACTTTCCATCCTGCTGGGTAGCTGGTGGATTTCCTACTGGGATCAATAGAGTCTGATGGTTCTACTGGGTTTGGTTTGATTCATCTGGTTCTGGACCTGAAGGTATCAGGTACATGTAGTGTAGTAAAAAGTACACGGTTTGTCTCTGACATGGAGTGAAGTCACAGGGAAATACTGAAGTAAAGTACAGATACTTCAGAACTGTAATCAAGGGCAATACTTAAGGGCATGTACTTAGATCACTACTGCTTTTGTGTCGTCTCTGTTTTGCACTTTGCTGTATGTAAACACAAGAGTAATATTCACTTGGTTTTTTTCCAGGCTGCTTGACTGAACAGGTGTGTGTCAGAGGCCGAGTTTGGAGGTGGTGACGTGAATTTCTCTGTCCCTGACAAAGACCAAGTGTATTTGCATTACCAGGTACTGTCAGTTTCTGTTCAGCACCACATAGTGATGACAGTGTTGTTTCTGAGCAGACTCTCACATGTGATGGTACATTCTGAAGGGTGATACAGCATCTTTTGGTCTGTTGTGTCCATGTTCTGTTGCTCCTGTTTGCACGCTTTTTGGCACTACTACTTACTGTGTGCACTGACTTTAAATCTGAATACAATCTACAGTAACAATCTAAGGTTGACTAACCTTAGATTGTTAACTGAATGATTGGTTGACAGACAAACAACTGTTTTGAGAATCAGTTGTTTCTCCAACTCTGCAATTAAAACTGTTAAAAAAGTCAAATACTTTCTTTGCTGCTTTTCTTTGTCATACTCTATATTATGTAAACTGAACATCTCATGGTTTTCAACTGTTCCTTGGCCAGAGCCTGACATTTGAAGACGTCACCTTTGGCTCTGAGACGTCACTGCGTACCTTCACTTACAGTTACTCTGGAGCTGCGATGGGCCTTTTTTGACTTTATTGAAATGTTTTATAGACTAACTGAAAGAACAGATAATAAAAAATCCATCAATAATGAGCACAATCCTTAGTTGTAACCCTAAAATACATGAAACTAATCTTCACTGACTCACTCTCGCCCTAGAGTTGTTGGTTGCAGTTGCATACCGTGTATAAAAGCCAGAAGTAAATCCTGTCAGTGTGGTGGAGGCTTCAAAACAACTTTATATAGAGAAATACAGTTTACAGGAAATATTAATGGAACAGTTTATTAATGTGACAGTCAGAACATATTTCTAGCTAGAGTCGGGGTTTATGATCTGCTCAAGTCACTGCTACGTTTTCAAGCTGCCAGACAGTCGGTGTTTCCTGCTGCCCCGTAGCGTCTGAGCAGTTCCTGGAGCCACAGTGTTTGTGCTGTGTTGTCTTTATTACTATTTGTACATTGTTTTTAAAGGTTTTAGCCACTGTGTAAATCTGTTGAGCTGCTGCTGTCAATACCTTTACAGGAACAACCCATCCATCCATTTTCTGCCATTTACCCAGGGTTCAGTGAGGTAGTCCAGACATCCCCCTCCCTGGCGACTTGTAGCAGCTCCTCTGGCAGGACTCTGAGGCATTCCCAGGCCAGATAGGATATATAATCTCTCCAGTGTGTTCTGGGTCTGCAGTTTATAGGAATAAATACAATTATATTGTATTGAATTGAACAGCAGTTTGAATCTTCGAAGAGCTGTTTAAGTCTCCAAATGTTTGTGGATGTTTTGACATTTGACATTTTGACTAGATAATTATTATAGATGTTAAATGAACTGCTATTTCCAGCTCACATATAATTTCTTTAGTCTGGGACAGAAATGATCCTGACGATCTAGTGTACGGAGCAGGTCAGTAAACAGGAGAGTAATGTGCTGTCCATCCACTGGATGGCGCTCTGTGCCTTACATTACTGATCTCTACTGAGTCCTGTTGTTTCTTCCCATTATAAACTGTACAAATGCAAAATTCAGTTAGAAATGTGAAGCATCTTTGTTTCCACCCGTGTCTCTGTTTCTGAGGTGTGTTTGCACATCTGAACACATGAAACATGACATGTTGTTGACAATGTCTGTTTCCAGAAACAAACTGGGGAAGGTCGGACAGGCGGGCAGACAGAGATATAAATAATTTAGGACAGAAATAGAAGAAAAAATTGCTGTACCTTTGTGTACTGATTTTTTCTCTTGGCAGTTGTTTTGTGTGTGTTTTAAGTCATGTGACTGACTTACAACCAGCTCTGGCACAGGGGCCCCTAAACCCAGGGGACTTTCAGTAATCCAGTAGTAGTAGTAGTATGTGTGCGTGTAGCAGTTTTCTTTGCAGTAACTGATGTATTCAGCTGTGACTGGTTAGTGTGGAGGGTCTGGGGGCATGTCGGAGGTCATATGCCCCTCAGATGGTCTGCACCTCATAATGTTACTACACTCTTGCTGCCAACATGCTGCTGACCTGATTAGGTCCCATACATCCCTTTTTATTTGCTCATATTTTTATATTGACTTATACAATTGTGTGTTATGTAAATAATGTGTCGGTCTTTTAAGCCGTGAGCTGCCGGAAAACAATTAATTGTGCTCTGAACAATGACAATAAAGATTCTTGACTCTTGACATCAGCCTTCTTCAGAAGGCCCAGAGCCTGTAGTGGCCTGTCACTGCTGCAGTACCAGGTTAGTCCACTGTGGGGCGACCTGTCCCTGACGCTGCAGCTCTTTAGTGTTACCAACAAAGTGCCGTTTCTGTTTGTTAAAGGACTGGTGCAATGAATCAATCCACACAGGTAAATTTAAATTAACCCTGCAGCCTCCAGATCTTTTTGTAATCCTGCTGTTTTGTTGACATGAAGGTTCTGTTAAGACCAGAGAACCATATTCAGGTCGTGGACCCACTTTTATTACTGTGAGTGTAACAGGAAGTATTTACTCTTCTCTTTCAGTGTTTATTGGTGTGTGTTTGTGGTTCTGCAGAGACCCAGTCTGAAGTGGTTTATAAACTGTTTCAAGGGGGTTGAAGGGTACATGAGGAGGCATTGCATTATGTTCCAGGGGTCTTCAAGGAGGTTCTACAGTAATTGTTTTTAATGGGTTCAATGAATTTGGTAGAAGATCCAGGGAGTTCCAGGGGATTCTTATCTTTAGTTCCACAGGCATTGGAGAAAGTTCCAGGATTTCCAGAGGTGGCTGTGGTGTTTCAGTAGGTTTCAGGGGTTTTAGGAAGTTTTTTTTTTTTTGAGGAGGTTCTGACCTTTTTTAAGAGGCCGCAGGGGGTCTGGAAGAGGTGTTGTTCATTCTGAGAGGGGTCCAGACCAGGTTCAAAGAGCTTTTTGATCCATTTAGGTCTGTGAATGGGCACCATGTGCTTTAGAAAGAGTTCCGAAGGATTTCTGGCATCTAAAGTAATTTTTAATCTACAATAGGTGTGTGGAGGTTATGAGAAGGGCTCCAGTTGGTCCAGAGGTGGTTTAAGTAGGTTGGAGGGTTCCAAGGCATCTAGTGGAGCTTCGGGGGGTTACAAGGGAGGTTCTGGAAATTTTGAAGTAGCACCTAGGGATCTGGAGGCGGTTCACTACCCTTAGAGGCATATTGAAGTGCCCTTTAGTTGTTTCATGAAGAGGAAATTCCAGTAGTTCTTATAGGATTTTCATGGGAGATTGTCAAGGTTTCTCAGCATGCCAGGAAGTTCCAGGGGTCACTGAGGGATTTTCAGGGTTTTTAGTCACTTCTAGGTATTCTAAGAAATGTTTCTGTAAATCTGAATGGCTCCAGAAGGAAACTTGAGTGTTCAGCGATTTCTTAACGAGTTTTTAGGCACGATTGTGAGGAGGTTCCAGGATTTCCTGAAAGGATTCCAGTTCAGAAGGAGATGTAAAGTGTTTTACTGGTGGAAACTCACCAAAACCTGTAATAACACTGACACAAGAACAAACAATATTTCAGACAAATTGTCAAAATGGCTTTTGTTGTTTCAAATGTAGATAAAATATAACGATGCTATTTTTCTTTAGTCTTTGTTATTGTTGCATCAATTTTGATAAAAGCAAGATTTTAATTCTAATTTTCGAAATGTTTTTACTTTATTCTTATTCTTATTATTTAACTATTAAATGGTAATATGATTTGTTTAGTGATGGTTTGTCTAAGAGCGAGCGAGGAGCCTGTTGCCGCCTGGTTTCTAACGCGGCCCGTCTTCATCTCCACGTTGACTTTTTCTCTGCCCGCACAGAAATATTTTTCCGGGCTTTCCAGACGTGGGTTTCCCTGGAGGAAGGCAGCGGGTTAAAGGAGGATAAATATTTAATCAGTGCTGCTCTGGAGTTTTTGCTTAATTAGAGGAATTCTGCTCCTGCCACAAAAATGAGCCATAAATGACTTCTGGAAACGTCCGCCCCCGAAAACATATCAAGACGCATGAGAAAAAATAATTATTCTGCTTATTGATCGACGCTGTGTATAATCTAAATTCGATATTTTGGACATTTTAAAGCAGTGTGAAATGAGACACCTGTACTGAAACATGGCTTATTAGCGGCTTTTTCTCCT